GGAGATATACGACTCCAACGACATCTATGGACAAAATACGAAAAGACTTTTTCGACTACCCAATATTTGAGGCACACCTTGTTTGGTGCCGATCTCGATTATATCATCTGTGAAGGTTAGAGACTCCCTTCGGATATCGTGAACTACAAAAACTGACATCGTCCTACTATAGTAATCATTTTTTTGCCTAGTATAACGTTTCAATAGAATTATTCCTTTGCAAAGACATTTACTTTTTGTCTGTGACTTTTCGACCAAAAGCAGCAAAGTAGAAGCTTCCATCGCTCTCTTATCTCAATTCCCTAACTCATTAACCATCAAAAGCAAAGAAGGTCAAAAAACTTAAATCTATTCCCTTATATATTATATGGTTCTTTTGAATAGCTGGGACTTTCTTCTTATACAACAGCGAGCTTCACAGCATACCCACCATGTAACATTTAACAATTTAATAAATCATCCGAACTCTACAATATCTCTCGAATGATTTGAATAGATGCCGTCATTTTAAAAAAAATCTAACTTATTTTTTAGAGTCGGGTTTGAACATCAAGCAGGCGCTCTATCATGGTCCATTGACTTAAGAGAGCATGAAACAACCAGGAAAAAAGCTTTAAATGCACTGGATTTTTCCCTAAACTTATCTTTATAAACATAAGACAGCTCCAAAACTACTCCTGGTTAACTACCAGTTTGAGGTGCTTATGAGAAGTATAATTGAGCTGTTAACCATGGTACATTATCGGGAAGTTTGACAAAATCCTTGTACTTTCGAGGCCGTTCAATATTTTATTTGCTAGCTAGAAGTCCGCAGGAAATCGTGAAGCGTCTATTCAATGTTAAGAACGGTGCCTGAGTAGCACTTGCCTCCAAATGATGCAAACTAGATTTCAGTTGTGGAAAGCCGTCAGAAGTGGAATCTTTTATAGATGAGAAACGAATTTTGAGAGAAAAAAAGTTCTCTGTTTCCTGGAAGATCTCAGCCATTCTTTTAAGAAATATCAAATAATCAATTAAGATAAGATTTCTCAAACTCTTTTTGTGATCTCCCTTGCTTGCGATAGAACGAAGTATGGGGGAAGAAATGTTGTCCATATAATCTGATTCATTCTTGAGAAAAGAGTAGCATGAAATGCTGTATTTGAGTACGTTGCTACATGATCTGAAATATAAGGAATCCAAATGGTGAAGATGCTTCAATTATTTGTCTTGAAAAGAGAGGCTTCATAGCCACATCACCAGAACGAGAAAAATGCAGCTCAGTTTGGAAGATGAGATTGTGACCCTGCTTAACCTCATATGTTCTTAACAGAATGAATTGAGGACCTTAGAACTATGTTATGGTTTTGTATATAATTGCTGATAATCAAGGAAGAGATAGCAACAAAGCTAGAAAGTAAATTGTCCACGCAAGTGGAAACTCCTTGTCAGGATGTCTTCTACTGAAGTTCGAGGTTTTCCATTCAAAAAGCTGAAGTTATATGTCTTATTTCGCCCAGTTGATGTTTTTCATTTACTTCTAAGCCAAAAACGTGTCGACTAGGTAAACTATGCACAGCATTTCCTATTCATATGGGATATATTGCCAAAGCTTTCAATTTATTTCAGAGGTTTCTATTTGGAAAAATTAGCGCGAGCTTGTTTGATAACTAGTATGTCTAGTAGATAAGCAGTATCTCTCCGAAAAGAAAATATGCACATTTTTTAGCGCAAATTCCCTGAACAATAGCGTTTTGGAAATGCATCCAATTTGCTTTGACTTTGTACTTTCTTATTCTCTTTCTACAACCTTTTTAAGCTATTATTCCCAGCTTTAGTTCATTAAATAAGACTGAAATGAAAGTTCCAGTTTGTGCTTCTAAAGCTTGCTTCACAAGCCGCAGTAACAACAGATTCAACAGGTATGTAAGCGCTACCATAGTTTGAATAGCCTCAACTTAATGTATTTTTAGATACCTGTGATGAGAATGAAGTCTTCATGGAGTGTGCCCCAACGTGCGAGCCGACATGCAGGTTTCCAGATGTGGTCAGTGATGAATGCTCTTGACAACTCTTCGAAAGTGAATTTTATTGGTTTAGCATTGCGACGAAAGCTGCGAAGATAGAGTTTGTCGTTGCAAGGAAGGTTACATCAGAAGTGAACAGGAAGGTCCCTGCATTCCTGCCTCAGCTTGTCCTCCAAGTAATGATTGTATCACTTCTCCTCACATGTTCCCAAAATAGCTCTCTCGTTTAGTGCCCACCGACTTTGATGTGTATTCCTTGATGCCCACCTGCGACGGTGTCGTTTGTGATGAAGGCACACATTGCGAGATAGTAGATTTGGCTTGTATAGATGGCTATTGTCCTCAAGAGGCCGTTTGTGTCGATGATTTTTGAGAGATGTTACTGTTTGAGTAAAATATAACTGATAAATTTTGTTAAATTCTCTATAATAGAAGGTTTGAAAGTTTTTTAAAGCCCTACTATCATCACGTACCCTTTGGATTGCATTTCAGGCATAGCTCTTAGGTGCATGTAAAGATTCCAATAGAAGGGAGAAATAAAAATTTTTTTACAAGCACTGTCGAAAGACCTTTACTGGTTTAAAGCTCTTCTAAAATGTCTTTGTTTCAGAACGACATATTGGATAGTTCTAATATAAGAAGACGTTATGCTAAATTCTTTTCCACAAAAAGGTCATAATTCGTTTCAGCAACTCTGTAAGCTTTATCCTGAGCCGATGTCAAACGTACAAAACGCCGCTGTTTTCTGCAATCTGAATACTCATAACATACGTTTTGAAGGGTCCCTTAACTTTCCTTTTCTTAGTGCACTTAATTTCACATTATATACCAGCGGTGCATCCCGCTTAATCTTAATCAGCTTTAAGTTCTATTCTCACTAAAATCAATGGCCAATCAAGAATGACCGCATGTTTACATATGCCAGAAAAATCAACAGGTCTGATCAGCACTACATAGACTAACAGCATCGATGAGATTTATTTAATTTTCTTTTGTTAAGAAACTCTAAACAATATTGAGCGGATAAATTCTATTATCTCTTCATTTGAAACAAATTATCCAATACTTTCAGAAGACATTGAAGATATAGATACAACATACGTAGCAGAATGAGAACTTATCATGTCTGAAGTCAATGAAGGTAGACACAATTTTGACTGCTTTACAAAGTAAATAGTGTATATTCACCTTTTTGTTGATTTAAAATACCCTTGGCTATGTCAGACCTAATAACACAATAACAAATATGCTTTTCAAATGTCTTTGCTCGAGGATTAAACAACAACCGTCTTAAAAAACTTGGCGTAAACTTCTATCTCACAAAATGATATGACATCAACCCACTCGATCTATATGTCAAGAAATGTACATGCAAACCAGTTTCTTCACACGAGCTTCTCAAGAACTTAACACAGAGGGAGCCTCTTTACGGATAAGCACAAAATAAATATAATCTGAAATAAACTTTCTTCAAACGCAAATATTTGCTAATCTTTCAGCTTCTAGTTTGCTCTACATTTCTTCTTCTAACTTTAACGTATCCATATGTTCAAGCTAAATTTATCTAGAGCGGTAGTAATCTAGCCGAGACAAGGACGCTTGGATGAGAATTAACTGCGAATCTGTTCGCTGTTATTGTTCACCTAACTCGGAGTTTAGAATGGACGAGCTTTAGACGTGGAAAAGTGAACCTGAGGGATGTCAATAATGGAGTAATATATAGTTGACAGGAGAACGGTGTGAAAAAAGTGTTACAAAAGAAGTTGAACCCAAATGACCAGCAACCTCCTAGTTATATCGCACTAATCTGGTTTTATTGGCCATTGAAGAGGGAGTTGAAGGTGCAAGTTAACTGCAAGTAAGGCGGATGCGATGAGATAGTGTGGGAGTGAGAGAAGCAGGTGTAGCAGTGTTCGTGCTTTCAGAAGTCCTATGGAGCACTATTTGCGCGTGGTTATAGCCAGCGAAAAGGAAGCTGACGCATGCCAGGAAAGGCGTTTGGTCCCCCAATAGGGCATAGGGTACCATCGGCTGAGAGACTGACGCGTTCCAAGATAGGTACTGATCCACGAATGATTTTGTCATCTTGGAATAGGAGGCTGACACATAAGCAGGCCATCGATCTGCGAAGAAGCACCGTCGCTGCCATCGCTATCGGTCAATGAAAATTCAAATAGTGCTTTTTCACAATAACAGCGTAAGATCACAAGTTTAGCTACTGTTAACCTCTATCTACCTAGCAATCTGGAATAGAAATGCTGCGTAGTGCTTATTGAAACGTCGAATTCCATCATCTTGCTTTGCCTATTAATGCTATTTCATGGTAGAAGTACTGCGTGGTTAAAGTAGTGGTAGTAGTTATTATAGAGCAGTTACTATGTTTTGCGGAATCACCCTTATAACATGCTTCTTTCAAACAAGACCGTCTTAGTCTAGTGGCGTTGGTGCGATAGAAGGTGTATATAGACTAGTCGGGAGTTCGATCGCCCAAAGTTTAGTGGTTTTGCAACGACGTGCCTCTTCTCTGGAAGCGCCTCTTAGTTATCTTCATAGTTTGATGGTTATTTCAAGGTGAACCTCCGCTTTAACTGCGAGCAGACGATGATTGTTAACTGCGGGTTTCGGGCAAATTACTACTGCCCCTGAATTTCTTTTAATATGATCCAATTAACTTCTTCTGCAACACACATATGAAAAAGCCATTTTCAAGCTATGTAAATTTAGCAGCTAGCCTATCTTAATCATAGCCTTTCTTTCTACTTTCGGATTTGAGGCTACACAAGCCAAACATGCGAAAGTGGCTTCTGGAATTTTTTTTTCAGGAGCGAAAGAAGCTTGACATAAGGAAAGTTAACAACGCTGGAACGAGGATTGTCCTCCGCCATGTCTTCCAGACCTTCAGCGTCTTCCTTCAAACTGCATTTTAACAAGTAAATTACTGCATAAATCCATAGAGCGGCTCACACATTTCTCCTCATTAAAGGTAAACAGTCAGTGAGGATACTTCACGACTACCACAACTATTACAGAAATGTATATTTATTAGTTAACATAAATTACGAATTACGAAGATTTACTCCAAACTACAGCTACTACTACTTTGGGATTTTTCGCTTCATTTTACCTACTGGCAGCTGACGGTTCTCTTCTAGCTCAAGCATTTATTCAAAAAAGAGTTTTGACTTTAAGCGAAAATCACTTCTGAAAACATCACAACCAAGCAATTTAATCCACACCTAACTTGTTCTAATGGTTATGGTAATCTGTGTCATAAAGACGATTATTCTAATGCAATTTATAGCAGGCTACAATTTCTGTAAATTTCAAAAATCGTCTGTGTCTGTCTTTCCATCGTAGACTACTACAATATTCAACGCAAACGCATTGTTTTAGTTGTGAAGTACAGGTCACATAAATCTAAAATGAATCTCGAGAAAATTTGAAACTTCCAATTGTAATTCCAAGTGTTCAAAAAGCACTGATCATATTTAGTCAAATCTAACTGTTTTCTTGGTCATAAGTGACAGCAATATCAGTTTTTTTTCAGTAACTTTCATAGAAGCCGCTTACCAATCAGCTAGATGATTTCAAGTATCAATCTAACCAAACAAAATATAAAAAACCCCTTCGCAAGTGTCTAAGAAACCGCCTCGCCTCATCTGTAGCGCAAATATATACTTTGCAGAAGTTTAGGTCTGTTACATCTAACAACTTACATCAAAGACAGCTCCAAATCAAGAGCAGCACCTAAGATCGCTTCTATAAAATTAGCCATTACAATACTGTCGAATATTAATCTATTCTTTTTTTT